TTTTGCGTAACGTTCGTATGGATTTACGTATAAATTGTCATATAATTATAAACTGCATGAATATAAATTTTATATTTATTACAATCTGAATAAATTGTTAAAAATTCGCTCTCACAACAAAATGATCAAAAATAGAAAAATTGTTGAACCTAATATACCCCCTACAGTGTACCCTATTTTTAAAAAACCAAACGTTTGACTGAAAACTTCTATAAGAATTAAACTAAACCATTTTATTCTAGGATTATCGTAATATGATCTCCATGGCATAAATGTGTTCAAAATTTACTTTGACTATCTTTTCTAAAAGAAAACAAAAAGTAATATTTGACGACATCGAAAAAAAGTGTTCTTTATATCGCACCCTTACATATTTTTATTAAAAATACACGTATGACACACAATATATGCTGGAAATAGAAACAACTCAAAATAGGGTTGGTAAAGATATCCGCTTTTAACGATTAAAGAAAGCCCATGGGGTTTCACGGACTATAGGACGGGGTAATGTGGTCAGCATCCCGCCTGGCCGATTTACTCTCGGAAAAAGATCTTGTTACTCATTGGACGGGAGACTGAGGGCGATCGTCAGAGGTATTAGAGTCAGACCAGTTAGGAAAAATGGGTGGTATAATGAACATTCCTAGAGGGCAGAATTAGGAATACTACAAGGAAGAAACATAACCGATTAAAGCATCACAATAATGGCAAGTAGCAACAAATATCTCTAATCTATTTAGGAATAAAATTAGACACAATATCACATGTTTTCATGATTGCAGAAATTCTTTCTTGATGCATATCTTTTTCGCTGTATTAATAACGGAAGATACCTCTTGCGAAATTTCGATCGTCGTTATTGACACTATAAACTGCTACTTTTTATATCATAGTTCTGACTGAAATAAAACAAAAGATCGTCTAAAAGAACGTTGTTCAACAACTTCCACTGCTTACTGACAGAATGCAATATGTAACAGGTGTCGGAATTAGGAATAACAAGGGCGATATTAGGCACAGTTCCCCTACATTTTATATGTAACTTTATTCTTTATATGTATATACTTGGTTTCTTTATTTCGCAATTTACATATATTTTTTGCAATATCTTAAAAAAGCGCGGGCGAATCTTGGATTAAACTTCAATTAATAGTAATAAATTTAATTAATATTAACTTTATATATCTATATATGTATATATGTATGTACGTATATATTTGAAATTTATGATATTGGGAATAAGTATCTCTAACGTCATTATAGTATAATTACCTTTCATTAAAAGTTAAATAAAACAGGCTTCTTCAATATGTTTGCTTGCGTATGCTCGTTTAATTTCGCTTTTGCGTGGAACTTTGCATAGTAGAAATGTACCCTTAATTCAGCTTTTGTATGGAAATGCCGAGTTGCTGTTCCCGTTTATTTCTCTTGGAAAACTGGTGAGTACTGATGTTGCCGAGTATGCTCTTTGTTCCTTTGTCCGGTACTTTGAAGCCTTGTTCCGCTTTGACGCAATAATTATTCATGACCTAACCATTTGAAATCATCAACACTTATACCAACAAAAGCCACTTTCTATAATACTTTTTCGAGTGTTATACCCTCTCGGCTATCATCTTAATTTAAAACTTGCTTTTGGATTCAATAACGTGCTTATTAGAACATTAACACGCGTGAAATAAATTAATAAAGTAAAGAAAGAAAGATGAATGAGACACGAGCATTGTGTAAATATTATTTGTCTGCGGTTATTTTAAATATATATGTCTCGCAATTCTATAGCTCTCTCGGCCGTTCGTTGATGGTTGATGATCAAACGACGTAGCAGGAATCGTCGTTCAAAGAGAATGGCAAATAAAAGTTTTAATTCGTATTAAAATTTGTATTAAATTCTTTAATAAATATCTGATAAAAAATAAAATCTAAGATTTTTAATATTTTCCCGTACAATTTATTTTCATTATTTTTCCATTATTTTTTATTATCTCCCCGTACTTTCTTTCTTTCTCTCTTTTTCTTCCTCCATTTTCCAATGTTTTAATGTTTTATTATATATTATACTTTCTCCGTTTTCCCTTTTCTCTCTTTATCAGTCTTCTTCTACTTTCTTTTTTCCATTTTTTTCTTTTCTTTCTCTCATTTTCTTCGTTCCGTTTGTTTTATTAATATTCTTGAAAAAGGATGCTCATCTACGTATATGCGTATTATGTGTAGCTACCTATATATAGATGCGTCAATATTTTAAAAGACTGTACAGAAAATAATTGACGTGTCCATCTTGGAAATTTTACAGGACTGTACAAAACATTGTTAGGTCACCTACGTGGCAAAGTTCCGTTCATTACCATGCAAAAGGAGAAAAAGCTTCTTTGCTTTAATCAGTGCGGACGTGCACGTGTTCTAGAGTAACTCTTCAGGATCTTCAACGGAGATTTTTTGCAAAATCGGCATGTTTTAAAGAATATCTAGTATAACTATCGTCTGAAGCAGACGAATGAAAAAATATTGAAAATTTAAAAAATTATAGCGCGTATAATTATTTTCGTCTTTTTTAACAGACGTTTTTTAGTTATAATTTTTTAAATTTTCAATATTTTTTCATGCGTCTACTTCAGACGATAGCCACACTCAAGTAGATTAGGAATCCTTTTGCTTTTTTGTTTCAGATAACTACACGACGGCTGCACGCGTAGTCACCGTTTTTTCGCGGCGCTCCAAAAAAAATGGCTGGCACAGGCTTTAATAACAGATGTAAAATTTTGAAAAAATTTGTACGCACTCTTTGAAATACAGTAAAATATGTGGGAAAAAGTTGTTCATCGCGTGGCTTTGTCGTTTTCCCGCTTAAAAATCATTCATTTTTAGGCCTAGTCACACTAGGGAAGCCCCTTAATAAAAGCTTGAAAAAGTTGAAAATTATTAGGTAGATGACGACAGATAATGATATAGAGATTAGAGATAACGCGTTAAGTATAGATAATATATGATTTAATTTTAATATTAATCTGAAACTTTTAAAAAATAGAGATAGTTGCAGTTTCTGCTCCCTTTTGTTATTTTTGGGAATAATCTATTCTAGTCGAGAAGGCTGTGCACTATCGTGCACCATTTTACGTGTTAAGAAACACGTCTTCTGGATTACACGTAAAAAATATTGTCGTGCGTAGACACATTTGTTGCTTGACATTCTGTATACCATAAAGTTTCGGTAAAATAAAAATTAAAAAAAAATTCCTTCGATCTTTCGAAGCATCGCTTCTTATCTCTTGCTTGTTCTAATCTTTTATGTATCGGTCGTGTTGTCGTCGAATAAACTTGAAGATAGGATAGGAAGAGTTTTAACAGTTTCAGCGAAAGTCAGATATATGCATAGCGCCAGGTGCAGTACGCGTACTCACGCGAGATCACGTATCAAGAATATATTGATCTAGATAGCTACAGCTTTCCAAGTTCACACTCAAAGAGAAAATAAACAACAGGCTTGTAAGCTAAAACTTTAATTGAAATCGATATTTCCAAAATTTTTGTGAATTTCTATTATATTATATATATACATCTTATCTCCACGATTTGTGTTCACAGAGTATTTATTATTCTTACAATCATTATTAAATGAAGAATAAATCGAGAGCACAACTTGATCATCCTGATTGTTATTATCCGTCATTAGTAAAGTAATCTGCTCTCTTTTGTCATTTTTGGGAATAATCTATTGTCGTCTAGAAGGCACTATATATTGCACCATTAGATCAAATTATTTTAGTTTAGATACGTATAATTTAAATTATGCTTATAGTTAGATAAAATATTCAGACAGACAAAGCAAAAGTGTATACGTTGTTCTTTGAAATATATCTGTTTGACTTAAATTTTGCTTAAATAGATTATTATACACATATTAAATAGATATTAAAAAGATCACGTCCGCGAGATCAATAAAATTCCATCGTTTAAAATTTAAGGGATCAATCTCAAAAGAGCAAACTTTAGATCGCTTTCGCTTGATTGGTTGAAGCCAAAATCAAATTAAATTACCCTATCGCTTACTATACTAGCGAGAAACGTTTTCTCGTAACTTGGCAGTTTTTCAATTTGTTTTTAACGTTAGTGTATTAATCAAGCCACGGTCGCTATTTCTAGAATAGAATTAGAGATGGATATTTTGCTATTAAGGAGGTTCTACAGATAATGGATGTATCTAAAAATTGGAAAAAACTTTATGGACGTATAAATTAAGATGCGAAAAAAATGCTCGAAAAATTTTAGCATCGGTTACCGTGTAAAAATTTGCAAAAATGAATTTTGAAATCACAGTTTTTAACATAAGCTACATATGGCAGAGGGGCTCTTGGAGACAGGAAACGAGATATTAATTATATAAAGGCAACCTACCAGAGATTCAAAAAACGGAGCTCTTATAGATCTTAATCTAAGCTTTTCAGAAATATCGAGAAAAACAAGGGTTATCGCGTAAAATTTTGTGATATTGGCTATTGAAACAGGCCATATCACAGTTCACGTAGCGTGCTTCGAATAACAAGGGAGATTTGGCAATGTCGCAGCGACTGCACCCGCGTGAAAAGTGTACAGCCATGCAGTACAGCACCACAGTATGACAGCACCTCAAACTTAAGCACCTAACGTTTACGAGCGCTTACGGAGAAGTACTCGCTCTAGAATTATGTGAAATTGTGAAATAACCACGGTCATATGAGCAGAACTGTCAAGTTCGCGACGTTACCACATTTTCTTCCATTATAAGCCGCCAGAGTCAAAGGAGCACTTACACGATATTTTTAATTATTCCTCGCTTCGACTAATATGGATATGATATAAGCTCTAACGTCATCAAAATTCACGAAAATATTTTATGAATACTTAGAATCGATGAATTTGAAGATTTTCTCTTCATCTCTCAACTGACTAGAGAGTACCTGTAGAACCTCCTTAAATATGATTCGTTTTCCTGGCCGATTATAAACTTGATAAAAATGATAAACATTGTAAATAAAGCGCGTACTCACGAGTGTTGTCGTAAGGTATTCCGTTGAGCTCGTCGAAGCAGGGGATAGTAGCCAAGGTGCCGGAAACCGTTCGGGGCCAGCATAGTATGGTGTCCCAGCTTACTTCACATTCTTGCTGTTCCTGCTTCTGGTTTTCGCGTTCCTGATATTCACGTTCGATACACTTGAGCTGCTCGGCGCTGAGCGACTCGTTTAGTTCATTAATGTAGTTCAAAACATTCAACACATAATTGCCGCCGACCAGCGGCTTTGTGCCGTTCGTAGGGAACAAGGCCATGACCGATCACCCTCGTCGAACCCTCGTAGAGCGTTCGTCTTCTCACTGAGATATCTCGGATTCGAGAAGATCTATCTGAGTGTATCTAGAAAACGGAAAGAAAGACGTCCTCTAAAATTCTGTAATATTGTAGTACCTCAAAATGTTTTTATCGTGACAAAAATTTGCGCTTAAACAAAAAGTTTATACATCCATTTACACACGTATGTGTACAGTATCTATACTACTATTACTATAAAGAGACAGAGTTTGTCGGTTTGATTGTTTGTCCTCGATGATCTTGGAAACCAATGGACCGTATTTTTACCAAAAGTATATAATATGAAATAGGGGTAGAATTTCCCGGGGAGTGTCACTGTGTGTATAGTTTTTTGTTATCAATTTTCTGGAAACCGGTTTTTTTAATTTCTCTAAATTTTCGAGAAATAATTGACGGAATTTTAAAGACGTGTATATAAAACAGGGGTAGACGTACCTGGGGAATGCCATAAAATGTATAATTTTTCGTTATCGATCTTTTTGGAAACCGGTATCAGAAGTTTTTCGAATTTTTCGGGAAATACCGAATCTCAAAGACGTATAGATCAAACAGGGGAAGAATTTATATACACTTGATTATACGTATTTATTTATCAACAGGAGTGGTAAAGACTTTCTAATGTACAATCTTGCGATATTGATGGACCAATAAAAGCCAAGATACGATGAACGACACGTAACTATACGTGTATTTCAAAGATTAATATAAAAATTTTTATTTTATTTTATACATTTTCGGACTACTTTCTAGATTTCAAGAAATCGCGGTGTATACTCAATTGCGTGCGTCTGTGTGTGTGTGTGTGTGTGTGTGTATATATGTATATATATATATATAGAGCACGATAAATAGACGAAAATGAGTAGGATCCCAGACAGCACCATGTCCAAAATCGCTCGTTGACGTTCTCACAAGAAATTTTCGCACAAAACGCGCGTTTTCGTATGTTATCTGGGCGGTACTTGTCGCGTATAACGTCGTCAAGTCCAAGAAGAAGACTCAACAGATCTTTTTCTTACCAAGTTCATCGAGAGTTTAATATTGTTTAAACTGTTTTCCAGAGTATAATAGATGGACGACGGCAAAACTTTTCCACGAGTTGCTATAGAGTAAACCGTATACGTATACATAATTCTATATCTTAAATCTATTTATTTT